ACGCCCCCCCCCCCCGTGGTGGGCAGAGCACAGATAGCCCATTGTGTAGCTTTGTGTTTAACTTCAAACAAACAAAATCTAAGCAAACTTTAATTACTACGCAGAAGTTTCCTCAATATTAAATGAAGGGTTTAGAAAAATGTGTGCTAGAGAATATACCGAGATAAATGTGCTTTATTAACTGAAGAGCTGATAAACGTATTTCAAAAAAGGGCTTGGTAAGTTATGAACATAGACAAAATGTTAAATTATGGGCTCAAAAAGTATGTGCTAATCGAAAAGTTAAAGTGAGGGTGTTCTACGTGATAATTTGAAGTAGTGTTGTGTTAAGGCAGAGGTTCGACGATGAACTGGAATAAACATGTGCTAAAAGGTAATTGAGGATTTTGGCCGAATAACAGTTGAATAAAGTAATGTTAAATGATAGGCTAGAGGCAGAGTGGCTTAATTAACACTGAAAAAATATTCATGATACATTCATTTAGACTCGTTAACTATAAATCTAATTTATTATCCCTTACATTTTAAAAGCTTCCTTTGTGTGCTGCATGGACAATATAATTCATACCCTATTGAAATATGTAAGAGACAAGAATTGGCTTTTCTGTTAGTTCTAGTGACATTTTTAATCACACAGATCGCCATAAAATTCTTAAATAATATTTTGTTTCCACCTGTTTGATGAAATGCCGCTGACTGCATAGTCAACAATATATAGTAAATATATAATTTACAAAGTAATCTAGAAATATTGTAAAAAAGGATGATGTAGGGATGGAATTGCTAAAAAGTACAGAAACAGGGTGCAGATGAATACACAAAACCATACATAAATCCCTACGTATATAGCCAAATCTTTTCAAGAAAAACTTTTATCTACTACTAAATGTTGAATTCCTTTAATTTACGTGAATTCAGGTTTGAATAAAAACATTTAAACTGAATAATGTTATAAACTCTTACAATGGTTAATTCACATAAGTTTGTAACATTGACTCAGTG